CCTCCAGAGCTGGAGAGCTTCATCCATCCCATCTGTGAGGAACAGCCCCTGGTCAGGGGCATTGTCTGGGAGGTTGGTGTGTGGCACAGGTCGAGATGGTGCCAAGGAGCATGCTACCAGATTAGCAGAAATTGGCAGTACTGGTGTCTCCTCTGACTTGACTTTCTGTAATTTATTGGTATAGATGTATTCATTAGCTTGCTAAAACTGCTCAGCCAGGATGAGCGCTTTTCTCCAAATCCTGTTAGACCTCTTGTTCTTCTTCTGTCTAAGGAGATTTTTCTCTGTTTTTCCCCATCTCATTATTTTAGGGTACGACTCCCTCAATTTCTCCTGTTAAAGGTGTTTGCCTTGCCTGGAATAATGAGATATTGAGTGGAAGAAAAGAGGAGGGCCGAAGAATGGACTTATGTGGTCTAATGTTAAAAACGATTAGCTGGGAGTGGAAAGGCTGAATCCCAGCCTTGTTCCAGTCACTGCGGGAATGGAGTCAGTCCATACATGGATCAGTTTAATTAAACTGGTATATATTGCATCTCCAGTTGTATCAGTATGATGTTCTGTATGGACACCATGCCTGAAATTTGCATTAGAGAAGACAGTTGAGAAAGTCAGTCTGCACAACATGCGTTTGTTTACTTTGGTTAGGTGAGAGAAAATGAATTTGGTCCAAGGTATGTAAATGCTATTTAGTGTGTATATATTCATCCTAAATTGAAACAGTTAAAGCAGCTCCTATATCTTCTAACTATTTTCTTTTGTCATGCCACATCTCTCTGTGAATTAATCTACATTCCGTAACAATCCAATTAACAAAAAAATGTCAATTTCCTGGCAATATGCAGCTGTACAAATTAATCGATTCATGCTGTTTGAGGTAGTTCTTTCCTGTTCTTAGTATGAGAAACATGAAAAATCTTTCTTCGACAAGATTGCTTGTAAAACAGATTCAGCAAATTAGCAAATCGAGAAGATAAAGGTACTTCTAGACGAGATCAAGTTAGGCCTCGTGCAAATCATGTCACACTTCTCCAGTTCTTTCAAATCCAATTGTTTTTTCCAATGCTTTATAATCAATGAAAACTTCTGTGTCTACCAAGGTGCTGAGAAGGAAACAACAGAAGTGACAATATTCAGGTCCAGCAATTTATTTTCAAAGCTTGACTGCCTTTGTACCAAGGAAATCAGTAGATGGCATTCCCTCTAAACTTACAGCATCTTCAGCATATTAGAGTATTTTTCTGTGATCATGTGTAAATAATTAGCAATTATATATAAATTAACAGTGTATATTTCTGAGTTGTCTTTTAGAGGTATTGCTGCATATTGTTTGCAGGCTTGCACAAATACACTTACAGCAATTTCTAATTAGTATTTTAAAGATTATCTACACTATAAAACCTCACAGCTTAGAACTGAGTCTGTGGAAGTTCTTGGGCACCTACTTTACTTTAAAGTACATATACCTAAAATGTAAGTCTTCAGGATCCTCGCTCAGTTATTAATTCTTTTAATCAATAGATATTCTATGGCTATATAAAAATACTTGCTTCCAGCGTGCCAGACCTACTAAAATATTGACAGCACTGAAAAGAAAAATGCCTAACCTTGTCAGAGCCTACAGAGTAAGCATTCTCATTTCTATCTCATCTACTGGGTCTAATCCAGCAGATATTTTAATTGCATGCTTTTCAGAATGAGCTCTGACAGTAAGCAGCATCAGGAGAAGAAAAGGTGGTAGAGCAACTTTTCTCCAGCAGTCCTACAGCCAGCGTATTGACCCTGGAAGCTAGACACTTGAGTTTCCTTCCTGTGGAGGAGATAAAGGCTCCAAATAGTACCTTCCTTTTCTATACAATGTAAAACATCTTCAATGGAAGAGACCAAGAATCACTCCTAAATTCCTTCCAGCAAAAACGTGGTACTCTAAGTGTGCCTGAATCACTCAACCTGTATCATGCCAGACAGCAGAGGCTTTAGTTTGTTTCCCACATTTGTGCTGAGCACTGTAATCACGGTGTTGGATGAATGGGAAGGATGAGGAACTGGCCCCTGCAGTGCCAGTCAAGTTTAAAGCAGCGAATTTACTTAGACCTTTGATTTCTTTGAATAAACAAGGATCTACCTATGCTACATAAATGGGCAATTTCATTACTGCTGCTGGGCAGAAACAGGAACAATGAAACAACCAAGATTTTCTGGAAAAGCATTGATAGGGATCCATCCTTGCTTCACCTACCCAGAACTGCTTCTTTTGCTGTAAAAAAAATGACTGTTTAACACCTTTTCATTGAATGAAGATATTTTCTGAGCTCACTTTTTGCAATACACTTCTCAGAAATGAAGCCATGTGCTTTGGAGGAGCTTTAGAGAAAAGCCAAACTGAGATCAGTAAGGCTGTGCCTGGGTGCACGTGTCCAACACAGTACAATGTACTGCAGAGTTCAGCCCTCTATTCCTGAACATTTTCAAGTAGAATCAGTATTGGGTTTTATGCCTTAAAATTGTTGCCCTAGTTTAGGACATTATGGCTTCTATAACCCTTTCCATGCTTGGTGGGCAATTAAAAGCAATAGTTTGCATCTGCTGAGTGAAGCAATAGGCATTTGTATAGGACCTTATGGTATGCATCTCTCGCATCAGCTACCATGCAGATTTTAGGCAATACCTGAATGTATTTCTTAGCAGTATCAATCATCCATCACCTAATGCCATTTTTAACGTAAGATCTAACAAAAAGTCCTATTTCCTTTGAGAATTACTGCCTGGAAGATATTTAACGTTTATGGGAGTACACATGGGAAGACAGGTTCTTACTGGGAAGGAAGCAGCTCAGTGCCTCTCGGTCTGTGAATTACTTTTATGAAAAATTGCTGAAAAGGAGTCTTAACTGCTTTGACTGTTCTCTGTAATTTTAATTCTGAGCATAGATTTAGGTGATCACTCTATCAAATGCCGTGTGCCATCACATGGCATGTACAGGACAACCAGGCGATCAGACCCAGTCAGCACGGGTTTATGAAAGGCAGGTCCTGCTTGACTAACCTGATCTCCTTCTATGACAAGGTGACCCACTTAGTGGATGAGGGAAAGGTTGTGGATGTTGTCTACCTAGACTTTAGTAAAGCCTTTCACACTGTTTCCCACAGCATTCTCCTGGACAAACT